ATATATATATAAAGATGAATATTTTTGCAAATTTCAATTGGTGGTAATTAAAGATCCTCCAATTGAATGCTTATATGTCGATGCTGAAATTTTCCCATGCAGCACCAGCGGTTGTTTTAGAAATTTACCGAGGTCACCCTCTTGAGTTAAGTCCAACAACCTAAAGTGGCTACATCATAATGATATCTACAGTATACAAATTTCAGTATCTTTCCATTTAAGAGCAACTATATGCTAATAGCATTTGGAACATGCTTTGGATGCAAGTAGTTATACTCCGACTCTCTCTCGTTGTTCCGCTGATCGATCGTTGCTGCGACCGTCACCAAATCTTCTTTGAACCTTAAAAAAAATTGAAATAAAGTCTTTTCTTTATTTCCTTGTGCCAATTGTACTCCTAATTATTTCAACCGCCTGAAAATGAATTATGTGGTTAGTATGATTAAAAAAACAACAACAACTAGGCGTGATAATAATTATAATGTAGCCTAGATTTATTTGATGTTCATATAGATGTCGAGGAAGAAGCTTTAGTGTGATGAGTAATTAGTGCAAATTACTGGAAAGTTATAACGTGCATACTGGGCCATATTTTACACAGGAAAAACAACGACTTATAATGTCTCTTCCAAAAGACATTTGCGCTGTATTGCATAGTTAAAGCAACTTCAGGACCAGTGTCAGCTCCATGAATCCATAAACACGTGTAGTTACATTCAATTTTAACTTCACTCTATGTTATGTTACTGCTGCTGAGGAAGATAATATTGATAGTGATACCGATAATATTTATATCTCAACAAAAAATGAGCAAATAAACGCCCCAAAATGACTGTAAACAAATCTAATGAAAGCAACATCATTCTCAACACATTCTTTATGATCCCGCAATAACACATTTTGATTGTATTTATGTGTTGTAGTTCCACATTTACATTAAACTTAAGAATCTTTTAAATGCTTTTGTGTATCCATTTTATGACCAAAAAATAAACGCCTCCTTCGAATAAACGGCCCCCTCAAAACTCTTCTCATGGCGTTTATTTAAATAAATGTACGCAACTTAATTTATGAAATGACAACAGAAAACTCACTGCTCAACAGCTTTTTTCCCCACTGGATCGAATTGGTAGCTGACCTCAAAATTCCCCAATCCATTCGTTCCTTTCACACTTAGCAGTTTCGTAACTTCCATAACGGTCAATGTGCTCGACTTGCTTGGCAAATATTTGAGTACATCCGCCTCTCTTTTCGGTTCCTGAAATATTGCAATTGCAGTTTTATTGATTGGTATTTCCTATATATATATATATGCATATAATATAATAATATAATATTCAAATTAGGTTTGCTGCTGTGTAGCACGAGCACTGTTACCATGGATAAAGGAAGACTCACTGCACTAATTTTATTTGATCTTAGTGCTGCATTTGATACAGTTGATCACACTTTACTATTGGAACGACTCCGGCATTATTTAGGTCTGGTAGGCAATGCCCTTAGCTGGTGGTCATCCTATCTTTCTGGTCGTTCGCAAAGAGTTTGCGTTGGTGACTCCATGTCAGACTTTTTCACTCTTGACTATTCCGTTCCTCAAGGTTCAATCTTGGGATCTCAGTGGTTCACGGTCTTCATGCTTCCGATTCGTGAAATTGTTTCAAAGTTTAACATCTCTTATATTTATGCTGATGATACACAGATCTATATTTCTTTCAAACCTGCTGAAGAAGTTGATGTAAAGATTGAATCTCTCAGAAATTTCTGAGTTAAAAACCTGATGTCCGAAAACTTCCTGAAACTAATAAACGACAAGACAGAATTCATCGTCTTTGGTTCTCCTCAACAAAGGAAGAAATGCCAACACCTTCACATCAATATTGGGGAATGTCAGATTGATCAAGTACCTCGTTTTAAGAACTTGGGTATCGTCCTTGACTCTTCAATGACTTTGAGTAGGCACATTTCTAAAATTAATAGCTCTTCAACATATTACTTGCGCAATATAAGTACCTTTCTGAGCAACTGATTCATGGATTTGCTACTTCACATCTTGACTTTCTGAATTCTCACTTTGCATCGATTTTAACCAAGGGCGGCGCCAGGATTTGCGCCAGGATTTGCCCGACGGGAGGCTGAGGTCCCCGACGAGGGGGCCGGTGCCCCGACGAGGGGTCAAATTTCCCAGACGAAAGAAAAGTGGGCGTGGTCGAGCTTCGATTAAATGGTACCGAAAGTGGTCCTGTGGGCGAAGCCCCGAAAATTTTGACAATTTAGGGGTTTCAAAGGCCTATTTAATCGATTTTAGAGTCTACTAATATGTAAAAAATACATATAATTTTTTTTTCTCCCCGACAAATTGTGCCTTTTCTCCCCGACGGGGGCCCTGCCCCCTCCCCGCTGGCGCACCCTTGATTTCAACTGTTACAGAATACTCTGCTAGGATTATTACGGGAACGAGGAAGTTTCAGCACATCACTCCGATTTTACTTAATTGGCCACCTGTTTCGTTCGGGAGCATCTTTAAGATTTTAAAATAGCATTGCCGACATCTGATCATGTTTTACTTGTAATTAATCCACTCATATAACTTGTTACCGAACTTATATTTTGTGGTGCAATCAACAGATTTTCATTTAACTTGGTTCTGGTTGGTTAATCTCATTTCTTATTCTTTATGTATTATGTAAGATCTCCCAAGTTTCCTTTAATGTTGATAATGATAGCAGGAAAACTGTTTGATTTTTGTTATATTTTTATAAATTTGTGTTCCGCAAGTCAACCTTCAATGATTATACTTCGCTTTTTCATTGTTTTTACTTTTTTCTTTCACTTGGAGCATACATGCAAATCCACTCCTCCAATATAAATATATACGCCAGAGAGAACAATGCAGATAAATTGCCTTGCTTAATGACACAAGCGAAATGCACAGTGAGGGATGTGAACCCCCGACTTTGAGTTGGGAAAGCAAACCGTTCCGCTGCGCCAACCGCCTCCACAATATGTACATCAATGTTAGTCGTTTTCGTTAGCACCTGCTACATTCATCATCTACCGAAAATGTCGTACCAATAAAAATCAATGTCTCAATTAAGTCTACATGTAATTTGAGGGTGTAATCATGTTTTTTCCTTACACGTAAATAGCTGACTTGAAATCACTCAGTTATCAGTTATTGTTTTAATTAGTATTAAATTATTGTGAATGAAGGAAAAGGGATAGCTGACAATAAACAGAGAGAGACACTTTTTTTCCCCTTTTTTTTTGCTTAAAAGCAAGCAAGCGAGCGAGCGAGTAAACAAACAAACACACACACACTCAAACAAAATAAATAAATAAATAAATAAATAAATAAATAATTAGATAGATAGATAGATAGATAGATAGATAGATAGATAGATAGATTGATAGATAGATAGATAGATAGATAGATAGATAGGTAGGTAGGTAGGTAGATAGATAGATAGATAGATATATAGATAGATAGATAGATAGATAGATAGATAGATAGATAGACAGACAGACAGACAGACCGACCCACCCACCAACAGACAGACAGACAGATAGATAGACAGACAGACAGACCTACCGACCGACCCACCGACAGACAGACAGATAGATAGATAGACAGATAGATAGATAGATAGAAAAACAGACAGACAGACAGACAGACAGACAGATAGATAGATAGATAGACAGACAGACAGACAGACAGACAAATAAATAAATAAATAAATAAATAAATAAATAAATAAATAAATAAATAAATAAATAAATAAATACATAAATAAATAAATAAATAAATACATAAATAAATAAATAAATAAATAGATAGATAGATAGATAGATAGATAGATAAATAAATAAATAAATAAATAAATAAATAAATAAATAAATAAATAAATAAATCAATAAATAAATAAAATGGTGGCACTAGTATAGTGAGGCGTAGTACTTTACCTTATTAGTAGGCGGTTGTCCGTTGAGGAATGCCGGGTAATGTGGTGGGAAACCATAGTTTTCGTATTGCCCGAAGTTTACCGCGGCGTGCGACACACTGCAAGTAAATATCGTAGATGTGACAGTTTGTATGATTTCTTCTGCAGTCTTGAAGGAACCATCCCCTGGTATGCCTTGGATGCCGCACCCTCCTTCGCTAACTGGTGACGATAGAATCTTATGCCATTCTTGTAATTCGTTATCTTCCAATATTTTATTTGATGTATCTAAAAAATCATTTATTTTGAGCTAATTAGCCTATTGTTGCTGTTTTTACTTAAATCTAGTTTTGACATAGGCCTAATAGACATATAAACGCATTTTTATTTCGAGCACTCCACGTGCTCTTCCTCAGCGATAACACGCATGATTAAAAAAGATTTACAAAGAGCAAACGGGGATAAACAGTTTAGCAGTGACTGAGATAAATCGTAGATGATAAGTATATTTAAAGGCGCTCATATAAATTTCGAAATAGAAATGTGTAGGAGGCCTATGTCTATTATATCAACGTATACATTCGTACTTCTGTACCTTTTCGCAGACCAGAGCTAACTTAGGCCTAATTCCTAACTTTTCATTCCTGATGAAGAGTTAACTTGTTGTTTATAATAAGGTAACGTGTGCAGATTTGTCATCATTTTCATGTAACCTTAAGACGGGCACTCACGCTCCAGGGGCGGATCCAGAGATGTCCAAAAGGGGGGGCCGAAAGGGGAGCCGAAATTTGGGACGATCGAGACAACAATGTCCAAGGGGTTCCGGGGGCATGCCCCCGCGAAATTTTTGTGTTCTAGACGCCCGAAAAAGACTCCCTGTGAGCGCTAGCTAGACGACGCGCCGCCGTCTGCTGATTGTCGGTGGAATTCTCAGAACAAATCGTAACGATCCGTTGCACGCACGTCATGGCATTGCATTTTCCTATAGAATTTGCGTCGGCCGGGAGCAGTGAGTACGCACCCGGGTTTAGCCTTCATTTTGTGATATTTGATGATTATATATATTTTATTATTGGCCTTTCTGTCACATCTACGATTGGCCTTTTTGCAAATATATGGTGAGGATCGCAAATATTTTCTTGTTTGAAGTAGCTTCACCTCACCTTTTAGATATGCACTTAATATTGTCACTCTTTAAAGCTCAATTAAAAAAAAACAAACAAAACAAACAATAAACAAAGGAGAAAAGGAATACCTACTTATTGATGATGATTACATAGAGAAAGTGTGGCGCTAATAGACGAAAGAGTGGATGTGAAGGAGATAGGCAACAGTGCGTCGCGGCCGCTATACTTTCCACGATGAGATGTGTCATTCCCAGATGTGTCGCCGATTGGTGGTAGGACGCGTCTGCGTTGTTAAACCACATCTTTGCAATCATCCATGTGTATTCATTGTCTGTCGGAAGAAATACCTATTGGGAGGAAACAAAGTGTGAAATGAAAATATAAAAGGTAAATACTATGTTTTACTAAAGCCCTGTCCAGACTAATTTGACAAACACATGTGACATGCCTAAATATTGTCACGATGACATCACATCATGACTACCGTATTATATATGACCATAAAACAGAACGTCTAGGTCTATTTTCCAGATACACCGTTCATAACCTATCGCAGACCACCTAACCTTCGTGGTATATTAGTACGATCTACATAGTTACCAACCTGAGAGATTTGAAACGCGTGAGTGTCTTATCAGTTGGCTGTTGGGTGTGCGGGGTCCAGGGGTCAGATCTCTGGCGGGGGCGTGGTCCTGGCGCTGATATAAGCATTTTTAAGCTGTTTTAAAACGATTAAGGGGGAGTGTTTGTTGACAATACCAGGTGCATAAGCAAAAATATTTTTAATAAAGCCACGTACAATTTTAGAGCCCCGAATTACCGTATGTAGGCTTGCACAAACATTTCATTGCTGATCAATTTTTAGTAACGCGTCAGCAAAATACTGTAAGCACGTAAATGCTTTCTAATGACTCAAGTTACTGCATGACCGTTATTTTAAGTAAAACCAATTTCTTCTAATTTTAAATACATTTCCCCAGAATTCGTGGTAATTCGTTATCACGCATAGACTTGTGCTAAATGCGTGACAAATTTAGGCTAGGATTACTCATGTATTTCTGCAAAATGGTTTCATCCAAAATCACTTTGAAATGCGACAGCCATAATTTGGGCAGTCACCCTTGTAGTTCATCATGCAGAACATGCTCCTTGCTTGATTCTACACAATCATTCAAGAGCAACCAAACAAACCACATATTTCGAATAAGGCAATCAATAAATTGCCTCACCAAAACTGTTATTTATCTCATTGTAATATTTATGATAAACAATGTCGGAGAAACAAAAACACACTCTCCGAATGAGAATGAAACAATATAGATCAGCATCCAAGCTTGATCAATCTGTAGACGAACATTTAAATTCAGCTCGTCATTCAATCTCAAATTTCAGAGTGATTGCAATAGACCATAATTGGAGCGACAAAAATTGTAAAGATAAAGAAAATGATTGGGAACTTTTACTTAAACCAACACCATTTGGAATCAATATTAGGAACCTTCTCCCAGTACACTACATTTATCCAATGGTATTCCAAATTTTTCTGTATAAATTATTTGGTTTATTTGTATAGGCGTGCCTCTAAAGTTTAGTTTTGGCCTTCTTGTTTACTCTTTGCTGACTGTCTGTTCTCATCTCATCTGGCCTATAATTGTTTCTAATCATTTCTTACTTTATACTGGCTGGCTTTTTCTCCCTTTACTTACTCGCCACTGAGGGAGGACTAGTGTTGTCTTAAAGCTCTGGTTCTATTTCTGGCTGTTTACTTATGTTTACTTAAGCTGTTGCTTATTGATCTCTACCGAGATCAAGCCATTGTTTCTTACAGTATGTTTTTCAGTATTTTGCCTTTTAATCTTTATTATATATATATAT